ATTGTGTTGTTCCCTGTAGCTGTGTCCTGTTGCAAATTTGTTTCGCCTTTGTTAATGATTTACTTGGTTCTTAATTTGTTTGTCCTTTCTGAGGTGGTTATGTATTTTGCTGAGTATGTTTGTCGTGTTCCTTGTTGTATGCGTTTGTCATGTTCCTTGTTGTATGCATTTGTCATGTTCCTTGTTGTATGCGTTTTTGAATTCTGCCATGTTCCTTGTAGATACTTCGAGGTCACTAAGGTCTCATGACCTTCTCAGCTCATCCTCTCTCTTGGGTTGCCTTAAACATCGCTCTTCTCCTCAAACTACTGAGGATGTTCCTCTCAACACGGTAGCTCCAAAGAGCGGTCCTCCTCCACCTCCACCTCGTACTGGCCTTAAGAGGAAGTTGGGGGTACCTATTGATGTTGATGCTGCTGATTTCTCTTTTGATTCCCTGGCTCCATGTGGATGCCTTGCTGTTTCCGTCCTTCAAAGATCGCCAGTCCTCGCAGACTTTCGCTGACCTTTCTCAAGAGGCTGCTGTGCTGTCTTTCCAGGTATGGTATACTCCGAAAAAAAACAACAAAAATTTAATAAACATGGCTATATCGGATTGCGCATCTCTTATTTGATTCCATATTCTGCAGAGCCTTCAGTCTTGTTTGGGTGTACTGGGTAAGGTGTCAGAGTTTACTCGAGTGTATGAGGCTATGAAGAAGGAGCGTGATGCTCTTTCTAACAAGTACAAGGCTGCTACTGATGCTCTGAAGGCTGAACGTGCTAGGCATAGGGAATGCATTGCTGAACGTGATGGGCTGAAGAGGACCTTGAAGGAGGCTGGAAACGAGGCTGTTGATGCTGCAGCGTATTACTTTGGGAAAGCTCATCTGGAAATGATGGAGGAGTTTCAGCAAGGAAAACATGAGGCCTGGGATTATGATGCTGACAAGGCTGCTTTTGAGGTTGCATTTCCTGCAGGGACTGCTGCTCCTGGCACATTGTTGCTGAGCTATGCTGATGAGGAAGTAAATTCTCCTCACAACGCCGAGGTCAGGGATGTCCCGGAGAGTACAAAGCCTGTTGCTGAGGAAGTGGTCCCTGCTGATAACATGGATGAGAATTAGTTTCAATGGTGCTGTGTCACCTTAAAAAAAATTGTTAACTTTGAAGGATGTTTGTTTTTACTGCCTTAGTGCAGTTGGATAATTTTTTTTTTATTTTGTCTTTGTGCTACACTTTTGTAGCTGGATAATTTGTTTGTTTTGTTGCTTTGCAACTAAGTAATTCTGCCTCTTTTGCTATGTTGATCTGTATTTATGTTTCTTATTGTATCATTGCTGTCTTATGGTCGCATTGCAGTTGTATTGCAGTTGTATTACAGTTGTATTACAATTGTAATATGAATGTAGTGTTGCTTACATGTGTTTGCTTGTTCTGCGGGGACAGTTTTACGATGACCTTCTTACTTGATTTACTCCTTGCAAGGATGGATAACCTTTGCTCTGTGATGACTTGTTGCGCTTTTGCCTAGCAGTGTAGGTGTTGTTCCTTGCAAAACAGAATAATGTGAGGGGTGGCCGTGGGTTTCCCCAACGGCCCTCCAATGCCAAAGTCAGTACTCGTAATGATCATAAATTGAATTGACAAAGTGTGAGTAAAGAGGAGTACCTTTCGTGCTGATTTTAGCTGTTGGAGCTTTTTGTGTTTTTCCTTTTTTTTTTGTTTTTTTTTTAAAAAAATAAATAAAATTGAAATGATAACTATGTACCTTCGCTCCTCAGAAATGATATAGCTTTAAGTGTGCTGCATTCCAGCTTTGTTGTACCTCTTTTCCTTCTGCATTTCTGAGTCTGTAGGCTCCATTGCCTACTACCTTAATGATCTCGTAAGGTCCCTCCCAGTTGGGTGCTAATTTCCCTGCGTTCACTTCTCTGGTATTTTCGTATACCTTCCTGAGAACCCAATCTCCCAACTTGAAGACTCTTGTTCTGACATTCTTGTTGAAGGATCTTTCAACTTCTTGGTGATATGCTGCCATTCTCATTCTTGCGTCTTCTCCAAGTTCTTCCACTGTGTCTAGGTTGTGAATTAGCTCTGCTTGATTCCTTTCTTCTGTCATTAACCCATATCTTGCTGTGGGGACTTCTACCTCTGTTGGGATCACTGCTTCACATCCGTACACCAACGAGAATGGGGTGTGGCCTGTAGCGCCTTTTGGGGTTGTCCTGTCTGCCCATAGTATGTTGGGTAGCTCGTCTGCCCATTTCCCTTTTGCACCTTCTAGCCTTTTCTTCATGTTACCTATGAGGACTTTATTGCTTGATTCTGCATGTCCATTTGCCTGTGGGTACCTAGGTGTGGATGTAATGAGGGAGATGTTCCATTCCTTACAGAACTTTGTGGTCTTATTGCTGATGAACTGGGATCCATTGTCTGTGATGATCTCTGCTGGTACCCCGAATCTGCTTAGGATGTTTCTTTTTATAAACGATATGACGTGCTTATCCTTGATTTCCTTGTATGCTTCTGCTTCGATCCATTTTGAAAAATAGTCTGTCATTGCTAAGAAGTATACTCTTTGTCCTGATGATGGAGGGAGCTTTACTATATCCATTCCCCACTTCATGAATGGCCAAGGTGTCAGTGTTGGATGTAGCTTTTCTGATGGCCTATGCGTCAAGGGTGCGTGCTTCTTGCATGCTAGGCACTTCTTGGCGAATTTTGCTGCATCCTTTCTCATGCTGGGCCAGTAGTATCCCATTCTAAGTGCTCTGTTGGCTAAATTCCTTCCTCTAGAATGATTTCCACACTCTCCGCTGTGTAAAGACTATAAAACTTGTTGGGCTTCCTTTACTTCTAGGCATCGTAAGAAGGGGCCTGATGCAGATTTCTTGAAGAGTACGTTGCTGATAAGGCAATACTTGGAGGCTTTTTGAGCAAGTGCTTGAGCTGCTACTTTCCCTGTTGGTTTCGTCGTGTCCAGGAGGTACTCTTTCAGTGATGCTGTCCAACTGTTGATTTCTTTCTCTGTAGGGTTTTCTTGAACTTTGTAGACGCTCACAGTCGATTCTTTTCCTATGGCTGGAGAAAGTACGTGCACTAGGGGGATAGCTCCAAATTCTTCTGGGTTGATGTTTGATCCCAAGTTTGCTAGTGCGTCTGCTTCAGTGTTCAAGTTTCTGGGTACTTGATCTATCTTGAATTCCTTGAACTCTTTAATGAGCCTCTTTGTGACTTCCAGGTAGGCTACCATCCTGGCATCCTTTGCTGCGTACTCTCCGTTGACTTGATTTACCATGAGTAAGGAGTCTGAAATTACCTCTAGATGTTGTATCTTCATGTCCTTTGCGACGGTTAATCCTGTGATCAGCGCTTCGTATTCAGCTTCATTATTGGTGGCTTTGAAGTTGCACCTTATTGCTTATGCTATCTTGTCTCCTTGGGGTGATGTTAGTACTATTCCTAGTCCTACTCCTCGTATGTTTGCTGCGCCATCTGTGTGGAGTATCCACTTTTGTGTAGCTTTTGGTTCCTGTAGTGCCAATACTTCTTTTTGCGCTTCTTCCTCAAGGGTTGGGCTGAAGTCTGCTACGAAGTCTGCCAAGGCTTGTGATTTGATTGCTGTTCTGGGCTCGTACTGTATATCGTACCTGCTCAAATGTAGGGCCCATTTCTCCATCCTTCCTGACATTTCTGGCTTTCTCATGATAGTTTTTATGGGGTAGTTGGTGCGTACTCGTATGGAATGGCTTTCAAAGTACGGGCGTAGCTTCACTGAAGCAGTAACTAAGGCTAAAATGATCTTCTCTAGTGACGCATACCTTGTTTTCGCACTGAGTAGGGTTTTGCTTACGTAATAGATTGGGAATTTCTCCTTGTCTTCTTCTCTTGTGAGGACTGCTGATCGTCCTTTCAGACACTGCGAGGTATAGCTGGAGTGGCTCTCCTTCCTTGGGCTTAGAAAGAATCAATGGGTTGGCCAAGTATTCTTTCAGCTTCTGAAATGCTTCGTCGTGCTCCTGTTCCCATTTGAATTCCTTATTCTTCTTCAATACTTCGTAAAAGGCTATGTTCTTGTCTGAGGACTTTGAAATGAACCTATTCAATGCTGCGATCTTCCCTGTTAAGCTGTGTACTTCCTTCTTCGACTTTGGTCGCTCTAGGTCTAGGATGGCTTTGACTTGGTCTGGGCTGGCTTCTATTCCTCTTTGGGTAACCATGTATCCCAGGAACTTTCCTGACTGTACCCCAAATGTGCATTTTGTGGGGTTCAACTTCATACCGTACTGCTTCAGGATGTCGAATGCTTCTCTAAGGTCTCTGACGTGATCTTCCACCTTTTTGGACTTTACTACCATGTCGTCTATGTAGACTTCTATTGTATTTCCTATTTGCTCTTCAAACATTTTGTTCACCAACCTTTGATATGTTGCTCCTGCATTCTTCAATCCAAAAGGCATTACTTTATAGCAATATATTCCTTGGCTAGTAATGGAAGCGGTTTTCTCCTGGTCGTCCTTGTGCATGAGGATCTGATTGTAACCACTATACGCGTCCATGAAGGACAGTAACTCATGCCCTGCTGTAGCGTCTACCATGGCATCTGGCATCGATATGAGGTAGAGGGAACGGGTCTTTTGGGCATGCCTTGTTGATATCTGTGAAGTCTATACAGATGCGCCATTTTCCGTTCTTCTTTCTGACTACTACTACATTAGCAAGCACTAGTGGAAAAAATCTCATTTGTAACAGGCTATTTGTAATGGGCAAAGCTTTGCCCGTTACAACTAAGATATTCGTAACGGGCAAAGTAGTGTCCGTTACGAATACTTATTTATTCGTAACAGGAAAAGTAGTGTCCGTTACGAATACTTATTTATTCGTAACGGGCAAAATAGTGTCCGTTACGAATACGTATGTATTTGTAACGGACAAATTAGTGCCCGTTACGAATAAATAAGTATTCGTAACGGACACTATTTTGCCCGTTACGAATACTATATTATTCGTAACAGACACATAGTGCCCGTTACAAATAAATTAGTCCAAATGAGCCCATAGCCCATTAGTTATTATTATTAGGGTTTCTCGATTTGCAGCCGTCAACCTACATTATTGCCCTCCCCCCTCTATATCCTCTCTCCTTTATCATTTCCACTCATTCTCTCTCTCTCTCTGTCTCTCTCTTCTCTCTCTCTCTCTCTTGCTCACTCAATCTCTCTACTTCTCTAATCAAGGTAACAACACTCACCAAACGAATAGTTTTGAACACTTTCTATACATCTCCATGAATTATCCTTCAAACTATAAACTATACACTTGACCTTTAGTACGGTGTTATAATTATCAGTCCTTTCTCCTCAAACCTTGTAATCGTCATTCTTGACGTCATACCCAAACCCAGACACAAAAATATAACATTCTGGGATTGAAATTTGTTTTGAAGGAAGCTTACGGTGTGAATTTGTGAGAGGATTGTATAAGAATATATTGTTGTTTGGGAACTCGGAGATGCAAACGATGCCGTTGCAGGAACCAATTTGTTTTTTTTCTTTTTTTTTTTTTGAAGAGCGTGGTTGAGCTCCGAGAATTCGAGAAAGAGATGAAGTTATGGTTGATTTTGAGCTCGGAAGAGCAGAAAAGAGATTGGGAATCGATTGAAATAAGGAGATGACGATCAGAGTCGGAGGTTAGGGTTTGATTGAGGTGAATTTTGATGAATTTGGGGTTTTTGATTATGGAATTCCACGATTTGCAGACGGATTTACAGCGAAGAAGCGTTTATTATTTCTGTTGGTGAATAGTTTGTGGATCTAACTTTCTTGATTTTTAAGGTGGGTGTCACGGGTCAGAAGAGTTGTGTTCGTGGTGGTCGGTTGGCTTCGTGGGTGTAAATATGGGTAAGTGTAAAGCGGTGGCGATGGTAAGTGTACGGCATTGGTGTTCTTTCTTTTTGCGTGGATTTCTCGTTCCTAAGTTGTAGATCTATAGTTTTTCTTTTGAATAATTATGTCTGTTTGCTTCTCTGATGTAAAAAGGGATCGCTCATTTCTGGGTAAGTGTAAAAAGGGATCGCTCATTTCTGGGTAAGTGTAAATCTAGGTAAGTGTAAAAAGGGATTGCTCATTTCTGGCCATTTTATTAGGTGGGTCTTCGTTCAATTCCCCAATTCTGACCTCTCTTCGTGATTTCTTCTCTCTTTTCTCGCCGCGTTTGTTTCTCAGGTATAATCAAATTTCATCTCCTTTCTTTAAACTATTTTTTTAATTTTTTTTTTATTTTTTTTTTATTTTTGTCGAATTAAAGCTTGTTCTTTGCTCTTCTATGAGTAAATTGTTAATTTTATTTGATGAAAATTAGTCTTGGTTTTAGTAAAGTTTAGCTTTGATTAGGTTTTTGTTTTTTCTTGTTCAACCCTAATTTTGATTTATTTTTTTTTTATTTATTGGTTGGATTTCCTCTTTTTTTTTATTCAATTTTCTCTGTTTTTGAATTAAATTGCTGATTTTTTTTTTTATTTTAAATTTATTTATAGGCAAGACGATACATTTACAATGATGTTCTTAAATTGTCTGATGAAAAACTCATGGATTGCTCTGGTATTCAAGTAAGTCTTTTCAATTTTCCCAGAAATAAACACTGGTTCATTTTTTTTAACGGGCTGATTCAATTATTTTTTTAGTTTTTATATTTATTTTTACGGGCTGATTCAATTATATTTTAATTTTGATATTATTATTTTTTTCAATTATGTTAATTTTGGTTTGTTGAAATTATTGAAGGTGGAGCATATAATATCTACACAAGGGAGCTTATTGAAGGTGGAGCATATAATATCAAACCACAAATGTTGGGATAAAACTTGTTTTATTAAATTATGATTTGTTTTTGCTCTTTTATTAGTCTTAGTCTTAAGATGTAAAATTGCGACATTATGAGCAAGTTGATATATTTTGAAGTGATAATGAATATATTTTTGCTTATTGTATATTAAATGTATAATTTACTTGTGTAAAAAAAAATTATCTGTGTATTATACTTGTGTAATAAAAAAATTATCTGTGTATTATACTTGTGAAAAAAAAAATCTCACTATTTGATAAAATGATCCAGCATGTGCTGGATTTTTTTTTAATTGCATCAAACAGTATTCGTAACGGGCATATTTAATGTCTGTTACGAATAACGAGTTATTCGTAACGGGCAGTATAATTGCCCGTTACAAATAACAAGTTATTCGTAACGGGCAAAATAAATGCCCGTTACAAATAACGGGTTATTTGTAACGGGCACCTGAACCGCCCGTTACGAATAACCCATTATTCGGAACGGGCACTGGAAACGCCCGTTACGAATAAGTAGTTATTTGTAACGGACAGTGCCCGTTACGAATAATAATGGCTATCCGTAACGGCTGCATACGTAACGGACGCTGCCCGTTACGGATGAGCCCTTTTTGCCTGTTACGGATAACCTTTTTTCCACTAGTGAAGCCATTCTGGGTACTTTACTTCTCTGATTTTTCCTGTCTTCAATAGTTTCTGGATTTCTTCATTAATAATCTTGTTCCTTTCTGGCGCAAATTTCCTTCTCTTCTGCTTTACTGGTGAATGTAGTGGATCTACATTCAACTTGTGAGTAATTACGTCTGGAGAGATGCCTTTCATGTCTTCATGGGTCCAAGCGAATACATCTTTTTCTTCTTCTAAGAAGTTATATATTTGTTGTCTGAGTTCTGACTTCAGTTCTGATCCTATTCTGACCTTTTGGTCTGGATGTTTGGGGTTCAACTGGACTTCTATAGCTTCTTGTTCCTCTGCTATGCTTAACTTTTCTTGGCCCAGCTGACCCTCTGATTGCTATGCTGAACTCTTTTATGAAGATGTTGCTTTTAGTGCGATCTTGTAACATTCCTTTGCTTCCTTAGGATCTCCTCTGATTTCTTGAATACCCCATCTAGTAGGAAACTTAATGACTTGATGGTATGTAGAGGGGATGGCCTTTATCTCATGTATCCAAGGTCTGCCTAAGATCATATTGTACGAAGATAGAGTGTCAATTACTAGGAACTTGACCTGTAGGTTGATTCCTTTTGCGTACGTGGCCAATGTAATCTCTCCACTTGTCTTCTTGGTTTCCCCACTGAATTCCACTAGCATTGTTGACTTGTTGACGATGCTCTTTTCGTCTATGTTCATATGTTTCAGAGTGTCAAGCATGATGATGTTTGCAGAACTTCCATTGTCAACTAGAATTCGCTTGATCATGCAATTTCCAACTGGGAGTGAAATCACTAGGCCGTTATGGTGGCCTTCTACTACATCGCTTTCTTCGAACATGATGGGAATGTCTATTTTGGATTTCTCCCTCTTGTCAAGTTGATCCTTATTACTCTCCTTTGCATGCCGCTTTGCTGCAGAATACGTCAAGCCACATACTTCTAACCCTCCTGATATGAAACAGATGGTTTTGACAATTGGAGGTGGAGGAGGAGGACCTCCTTGTTTAGATTCTCTTTCTCTCCCAGAAGCTTTAGATTTATCTTGAGGAGCTCTTTGAGGTAGCCCTTCTTTAGCACGTACGCCACTTCCTTTCTGAGCGCGACACATTCATCAGTAGTGTGACCGATATCTGAATGAAAATCACACCATCTGGACGGATCTTTCTTCTCTCCAGGCCTGTCACTCTTCCTGGGCCACTGCACAGTATCTCCCATCTTATTTAGGGTCCTAATTACTCCTGCAGGGTTGCCTTTAAAGCAATACTCATGTAACTTAGGTGGGAGCTCAGGATCTTCCCTCCAATCAGAAAATTCTTCTTCGACTGCATTGACTGTTCCCTCATCAAAGCGGGAACGCTGATATGGCTTGAATCGATGATCCCTTCTGGGAAAATTGTTGTTCCTTCTTGACTGGCGATCTGGCTCAGGAGTCTTTCTTGCATATGCATCTTCCTCAAATCTGACTTGAGCCATAGCTTTGGCTTGCACATCTTCAAAGGTTGTACAGGGATACTTAGTCAATTCCTTGTAGAGCTCACTATGGTCTAGCAATCCTCTTCTGAACGCTTCGATTATTGTGGGAGCATCACACTTATGTATTCCGATCTTCTCCCTGTTGAACCTGTTAAGATAATCTCTCAAGGATTCACCATATCTCTGCACAACGCGGTACAGATCTGAAGATTGCTTTTCTATTTTTCTACTGCTAGCGAATTGGACCTTGAATAGGTTCACCATTCCTGCAAAAGATCGAATAGTCCCATTATCTAAATTAATGAACCAAGTTAGAGCTGGACCTGATAGTGTGGCTCCAAAGCCTTTACACATGATAGCCTCTCTGATGTCTCTAGGGATTGAGCTTGTCATCATCTTCTGTTTGTAAAGGGATACATGCTCGTCGGGGTCTGTTGTTCCATCATACATAGTCATATTGGGCGTACTGAACCTCTTTGGGACCTCTACCATGGCGATCACTTCTGAGAATGGGGATTCTATATAGCCATCTGCTGCCTCTTCTTCCATGGGTTTCGGCATTCCAGGGATTTTGGCTATTTTGGCCTCGATTGTCTTGAGGTATTCCTTGACCATCTTTTCTACTTTTCCCTCTTTGGCTCTTTCTTGATTGTCCTTCTTGGGGGTTCCTGCATCCAAAGAGTCTAGATCCAGGGTTTTTTTCCCTGTTGTTAGATCCTTTTTCCCTGTTAGGGGTGTGAAAGGTTCCGGACAAGTCGAGCTGCATGGCTATACTTTCAGTGTTCTTTCTGGTGTTAATGGTTTTAGATGCAACTGATTGTATTTGGCTGCAAAGGGCTTCATTTTGTTTGGTAAGGCTGGTGAGTTTGGCTTCAGTTTGAACCTTTTGAGCCAGCAGCGTTTCGATTTGGCTTTTCTGCTGGTCTAAAGTTTGGCGGAATGCGTTCATTCCTTCATTAATTTCGGCAATAGTAAAAGGTACTGGTTGCCCAATCATGGTGTTTGTCTTGGTTTTTGGCGAATTGGTAGGTTAATTGATTATCAGCCCCACGGTGGGCGCCAAATTGTTTAGGCAAATCTCAATAAGGGTATCTAAGAATTTGCTAGGTTTGAGGGGTAATAACAATCATTCTACCAATAGCATAAGAAATAACTAAGAACGATAATAAATCAATAAGTAATCAATAAGTAAGCAGTAAACATTCACTTATAAAAAGAAGATGAGTTTAGAGATACAATACTGAGTAAGGATAGGCCTCCTTGTTCAGTAGGGACGCAGTTCCGTAGATAAAATTAGAGCAAGTTGTTTATATTTATGTATATGCGAACGTACATGACTGTTAAAATGTCTAATTCTTCTTATTTATATCTAGGGATCTCTAGGGTTTACAAATATATTCAGAATATCCTTGAAGTGCATAAGATCTTCTTGATTTATCTTGTTTCCTGCTCTGTAGATGTATCTTTGGCAAGTATCTTCTTGATTGATATGCTTGATGCTGCTTTCCTTGTTTATTTCAATCAGGCCGTTTTGCATATTCTTGCTGACTTATTGGCCTTGGATTGGTGCCCTAGATGCAATGGGTCGTATGATAATACGGGCCCAACATTTAGCTACTCCTTAATCAGTCCTTGTTTAATTTCTATAAGTATCAAATGCAGTAATCATTGTAATTACTCCGTCTGTTACATAACAGTTAACATAGTCAAACTTGATACACTTGTCAATGCAATAGTTTGACCCTAATTATAAATAATCAAATATATTAATTTATTAATGAGTAAATTTGTTCCAAATAAAAAATCGTCTTTATTTAAGAGAAGTCATATCGCTTGAAGATACTGGCTAAGGTGGACAAGTGGTTAACATCGTGCCTATGCCTAATCCACATATTTTGGGGTTAACTGGACCAAGCCCGACCCACGATCTACATGTTGTGCCCTTATGATGTGTCGTGCTGAAAGTTTAAAAAGGACGGTCCAAGCCGCGTTCCCTTGTGTAGGGATGTGCTAGCGTGTCTTTGCCCAATACATTTCATTGATTTCAACGTGTTTTCATTGCGATTCTCTCAATAAAATTAGTCTAGCCCAAGTTTGGTCCATGACTTGACACACATAATAACCGTGCATGTTGTGTTGTGTGTTGTGCTACACCATGCCCTTGTTGCCTTGTTGGCTGTCTTAGCTCAAAAGTCAAAACCATCATCTTTATAGGTGGTATCCTAGTTTGGATCAAGTGCTATGATATACTACCTTCGTTATATGTTATTTGCAATTATTAGACATTTTTCCTCTTTAATTTATGTCAAATTGTTGTAAATAATATGTAAGGGAGGTAGTATTTCATCAATTCTCTATCTTTATCCTTCCTCTTTATCCCTCTTATTCCTATCCCTCCAACCAAACACCACCCCGTTATTGTCTACCACATGGTCCATATCTCGCTTGTGCACGGAGTTTGTATTAAAATCCGAAACATTGTAGGATAACAAGTTAACAACTATTGGATTTGTCAAAAAAAAAAAAAAAAAAAGTTAACAACTATTGGAAGGCAAAATGAGTGACTAGAAGTTTACAAGGTACAATTCAATTGCAAAATTGATAAAGATTTCAATGTGTATGTAATGTGAACATTAAACAGTCAAAAATAGCAAAAAAAAAGTGTCTACACTACACCTCACACTCTCGTTCATTCATTCATTCACAAATCGGTGCAATAATCTGCAATTTTCACACTTTCTCTCCCCTATAAAAACCCAACCCTTCACCAATTTTCAACCCAGAAAAAACTCTTCATTTCTACTCACATTCAGAAACTTCCAGAAAACAAAAAACCAGAGCAACAATGGCGGGACAAGAAGTGAGCAACAAACAAGTAATCTTAAAGGATTACGTTGTTGGGTTTCCCAAAGAATCAGATATGGAGTTCAAAACTTCCAAGATTAACCTTAAACTTCCAGAAGATTCTAATGGGATTCTTCTTAAGAATCTCTACTTGTCTTGTGATCCTTATATGAGGAGTCGTATGACCAAGCATGATCGCCCTACTTATGTCGAATCTTTCGTACCTGGATCGGTATATTTTATTTTAATTGATACCCATTTCATTTTTTTTTTTATTGATTGTTTGTTTAATTAATTGTTTGTTTTTCAGCCTTTTTTGATTATTTTAATATTTGCTGTTTGACTAATTGATTAATTAATTCGTTTTGGGGTTAAATAATTTGTAAATGTGCTACCTTTCTTTTCATCATTTCATGTTTTATAGTGTTGGACTTTAGGGTGATGTTATAAACTCTATATAAAGGAATGGGACAGTTAAAATGAAATATATTTGTATTCAATTATTTGGGTTTATATGCAATTTTAATTTATTGTATGCTAAAGTGTATTAATAAGGTTCGTTTTATAATCTAGAAATTTTTGTTGCATGTGTTATTTGGGAAATTTAGAAGTGTTAAAATAGGCTTTTGCAATGTTAAAATCAAAGCTGGTGGTGGTTTAATAAATTTTGTTACATTAATTTTTGGCAAAATGGGTGTTATTTGTGGAGATGTTTAGCATAAGAGGTTTTGGGGAGGCATTTTTGAATGATATGAGATAATTTGTTATGACTTTATGCATATGAAATCACTGATTTCATAGTCTATTACCCGGTTTTACGAGTGTGTTTGGATAGTGGAATTTTGGAGAGAAAGGGAGAGAAGAAAAGGTGAAGGATTCATCTTCATTTGTTTTTGAACATGACATGGGAGAAGGGAATGGAAGAGAATAGGAAGAATTCATTTTCTTCATCTTCCTTTTCCCTCAACTTATATCCCCTGACAAATATGGTTTATGTAGGGCATTTTAGAGTTAGAGGGAGGGTTATAGAAAGTGAGGGATCAATCTTCCCTCGTTTGGATATGATGTGGGGGTTGAGAGAAAGGAAGGGGACTAGAGGAATCCCTTTTCATTTTCTTCTTATAAGTTAAATCCTTCAAGTGTTTGAAAGTTTGGAAGGAAATGCAAGCTCATTTCTTCCCTTACAACCCCTCCCTTTCCTTCCAAAATAGTTGACTGAACATAGTGTTGTAGGGGACGGGAACTGGATCCCTCTAATTCTCCTCCCTTCACTGAGTGAAGTCGTATCTGAATAATAAAATGAATGCTACGCATTCTTTTCCCTCCAAACACACTGTAAATTCAATAAAAGGGGTAAAAGATTATAGAATTGTACTTGATAATCTCTGGTTAAAATGTTTTGTGTGCTAATTGCAGCTCATTTTAAAGTAGTTAGGGGCAATACTATGGATCTGATCCCTCATAATGGATGTAATTGCCTATCATACACTTGCACAGAACGTTTACAAGTTGATTTTCCACCTATTACGGATATGATCACTATTCTACATCTTTCATTCAAGGTTTTATGTTCAATATGTTTGTCGATTCTTCTATTTCATGAGATCTTTAGGTGATAATTTCTGACTGCCGATGTGCACATGTATGAATTATGAAAGATGATTAAACGTGATAAGTCAGTAACCCATAATTGGCCTGCTTCCTTATTAACTTGTTGCCTATCGAGTAAAATAGAAAATTTTCAGACTACAAGAATTAAGAAGATTTGCTAAAGCTAGAGTTAGGGAGGTGAGCTTTGTTTTGTGGCTTTGCCTCAACTAGTTACCTTGTCCTGCCAACGTTCTTCTTGACCCATTATATAGAATTTGGTTGGCCTTTGAATTAATAAGAATTATGGCATGCTAAACATGCAAAATTGTAAATGTATCGACAGTCCTACAGAAATTAAGAGCAAAGTTTGATACTTTTTTTGTTTTTTTTCTTCCTTAAAAAAAAGTAGTGATAGAGGTTTTTTGGTGTGCGTGAAACTTCTGTTAACTAAAATGCTGATTTTTTTGCAGCCCATTATGGGGTATGGAGTGTCCAAAGTGCTGGATTCTCGGCATCCAGACTACAAGGTGGGTGACGTTGTATGGGGAATAACTGGATGGGAAGAATATAGTCTTATTTCATCTCCACAGTTCTTCTTTAAAATTGAGCATACTGATGTGCCTCTTTCCTACTATACTGGGATTCTTGGTAAGTGTTTGTGTTTTCCTTTAATTTTAATTTTTAGGAACTCTGAAAAATGTGGTACTAGTTGAACTATAGTATCTTTTCATATTTTCCGACTATTTCATTTCAGTTTTTGTTCTATTTGCTTGGAAAAACCATTGAATGTTCTCTGGAAATACTATTTGTGGGTAGAGCTGCAAGAACTTGACAAGCATTGAATTAAGCAATAGCTTCAGTTTTAATTATCAGCATTCAGCAGAAGAATAAGATATTATAAATGGATAAAATATGCTGTAGTCTGGAGCGTTTATTGAAGATATTATAAATGGATAAAATATGCTGTAGTCTGGAGCGTTTACTGAAGATATTATAAATGGATAAAATTCTACAGGGTTAGGCATCTGAATTGGATGTAAAAACTATTGCATGTGAATAGATTCTATGAAATTTAAGGTTTTGATTGTGAGGAGGGAGAAATACGTTTGTAAATCAGTGCTGATTGCTGATGAGGGCAATAAAGAAGGCAGACTCATCACTCCAATCCAGGATAACTGAGGGATCAGGACTGGGACTCACAACCCCGCTGCCTATAGGGACAAAGAGATGGGAAAGAAATAATACATAATCTAGGATGACTTACCTGTATGCTTTCACGTATCAATATATAAACTGTATTCAGAATTTGGGCTTTAAGAAGTAAATGAAAAGATTACTGAGACCTTGAGGAATACCATAAGAAATTTTTTTCCAACAGGAGGTGGTTCCTGCTAGGAATTTTGCAGCCTTCTAATCTCTTCTCAGCTATTTCAATAATTCAGATCATTTGACATGTTTGGCTTCTATCAATTTGTAGGTATGCCTGGCATGACAGCCTATGCTGGTTTCTATGAGGTTGGATCTCCTAAGAAGGGAGATCGTGTCTTTGTCTCCGCAGCGTCTGGTGCTGTTGGTCAACTAGTTGGACAACTTGCAAAATTGAATGGTTGCTATGTTGTTGGAAGTGCTGGTAGCAAAGAGAAGGTGATTTTTTTGATTCTACATGTTTGATTGTTACTTGTGGATGACATCCTTTTATGATTTTTAATCTTAGCATTTAAAATTATGATTGACAAATATAAGTTCTTGATGTAAGTTGCACTTGGTGGAGAGTTCTTGAATGCTAGTTGGATACCATTAAATATCACTTGGTAGAGAGTTTATACAACTTTTCAATTAAAACCTTTTTGCCATTTTTGAAATATATTTCTGGTTCTCACTTGCTCTCACAACTTCCTGCATGTTAGGTTGATTTATTGAAAAACAAATTTGGATTTGATGAAGCCTTCAATTACAAGGAAGAGAAAGACTTAGATGCGGCCTTGAGGAGGTGAGTATTTACATGTACTGACTGCCAATATGTACTTCATATAACGTATTATGTCAAATCCTTATCTTTGTGCAAGAAGGTATGTCTAAGTGACCATTGCTAGAGTGAAACATTCATAACACAAGGGGAAGTTTTATTATATGCCCATTTAAATTTTAAACTAAGACTGCGGTCCTCAAATCCTGATATCTTGCTTTGTTTAGATATTTTCCGGAGGGAATTGATATTTATTTTGAGAATGTTGGAGGTAAGATGCTTGAGGCTGTTCTATCGAACATGAGACTTCATGGCCGAATCCCAACCTGCGGAATGATCTCACAATATAATCTCGAACAGCCGGAGGGAGTCCACAATTTGTTTGAAATTATAGCCAAACGTATTCGTATGGAAGGATTTATAGTTTTCGATTACTATCATCTCTACCCTAAATATCTGGAAATGATCCTACCACACATCAGGGAGGGCAAAGTTTCATATGTTGAAGATGTTGCTGAAGGCTTAGAGAGCGCTCCTGCAGCCTTGATTGGGATCTACTCTGGCCGTAATGTTGGGAAGCAGCTCGTTGTGGTGTCTCGTGACTAAATTCTATCAAATGAAATTTGAACATGCTGTGTTGAGCTTTTAAGTGATGATGTTTGTAGTGAGTAGAATTGAGTGGTTTCTATTTTTGAAAGATTATGTTATAATAGTAATTAAAATAAATATGTATGGTACTTATGCATTTTGCATATCTTGTTATACTCTTGCAGTCTTAATTGATAATGCTAATTGGGATCTATTGGTTAATTCAACAATATAGGGCATACATTTGTGCATTTTTTGTTTGAAGAAAATCTGCATATGACGTCTAATATGTCTTGGCCTTTTGGGTTAACGGATTTGCCTTTGCATTTACGGGATCGGTTTTCTTATCTGTCCCCGGCCCTTGCCTTGTAAAATACTTTCCCCGGTTTTCTTATCTGTTTCCCGGCCCTCGCCTTGTAAAATACTTTCTCCGTTTCTTTTTAGTTGACAAGAATCTTTAGTCACATTTGTCAATGTACAAATTCAATCATTAATATCTTCAATTATCGATAAGCAAAAATTATAAAAAGTTGATATTTTTTTTTTTTTTTGACGGGTAAAAAGTTGATATTTTGAATATATACATTCGTAACAAAATCTCAATTGACTATATTTTTCTTTAAATATAAATTACAAATTATAATCAAAGAGAGGTGTGTAAATAGTACTAAAATCGAAACGTGTCAACTAATAAAAAACGGAGGTAGTCAATAGTATTAATAAGTTTCATAATATCAACTTTTTTATATTTTTTTAAAACTGTTTAATCATATATATCTAAAGTTGTATTGGCATGTGTGTCAATTTTTATTGTGTCAATTATTTAGGATTGGAGGAAGAATATATTAAGGGGTCGTTTGGTTCACTTGGGGTAAACGGAATGGAATGAACAAAGGGAATGGAAGAGAATGGAATGAAAATACCCAATTTTCTCTATGTTGTTTGTTTTCAAAACTAAGGGAAACAAACCCATCATCCCACCACCACACAACCACCTAATTCATTCACTTTCCACCTTTTCTAGCCACCATTCGTCCACCAAACCACCAGCCGCACCTACACCGCCGGGTGCCTCACCTTCGCCGCCCTTCGCAGCACCTTCGCCGCCCTTCTCCGGCCTCGCGCTGCGATCTCTTCCCCAAAAACCAACCCAGAAAAGCCCTAGTAACATCCCAGCCCCTAGAAATCCCTCCCTCTCCCCGAAAAACCACCGTCTGACCCTCCCCACCCTCGAAACCCTAGGCTAGGGTTTCGAGGGTGGGGAGGGTCAGACGGTGGTTTTTCGGGGAGAGGGAGGGATTTCTAGGGGTTGGGGATGTTTTTGCGTGAGGAGAAGAGAGTTTTACGGGGAGGGGGAGAATCGTCGGAGGTCGTCAGAGAGGCGGCGAATCGTGGGTAGTGCGGTGGTTGGGTTTTCTCGGTGGTGTGTGGAGGTAAGAAGGTGGTGGTGTGGTGGTGGCTAGGGAATGGAATGGAAAAGTCTAGGGGTGTGGGGAATGAACTTAGAGCGATTTGGGGTAATGAAGAGGGGAAAGAGAATGAAAAAAAGTGCAAAACAAACATCAACAAAGGGAATCGAGCCAGTTGATTTCCATTCCCTTTCTTGATTATCCCCAACCAAACGGCCCCTAAAATTAATAGTGGAAATCTGCGGTCCGTTTTAAGTATTCAGTAGTCTATGTCAACTAATTTGTTAATTATGGGCAAGTATGTCATCTATTTGGTTAATCACACAATGTGGCACAATAATAGATATGAATAATAATAATTTTATTTCTAATCAACCATATTAATCACATATTATAATGATCCCTATATGGGCAAGTATGTCATCCATTTGGTTAATCACACTAATAGATATGAATAATAATTTTATTCTAATCAACCATAATATATTAACATTAACCACATATTATAATGATTCCTAAATCATCATTACTACTTAAATAATCACAACTTCAACGTGAACATGAACAGTCAACAACAGCAATGAAAAGTATGAATACACCTCAAAATCTCAATCATACACACCCACATTCAACTTTCACACTTTTCGCTCTCCTATATATTCAATCTCCATTTTCAACCCAAATCAAGCCTTTTCTTTATTACCCACTTTCAGAAACTTCTAGAAAGAAAAACAGAGCAAAACAGAGCAACAATGGCGGAAGAAGTGAGCAACAAACAAGTAGTGTTAAAGGATTACGTTGTTGGGTTTCCCAAAGAATCAGACATGGAGGTCAAAACTTCCAACATTAACCTTAAACTTCCAGAAGATTCTAATGGAATTCTTCTTAAGAATCTCTACTTGTCTTGTGATCCTTATATGAGGAGTCGTATGACCAACCGTGATCGTGCTTCTTATGTCGAATCTTTCTTACCTGGATCGGTACGATTTATTTTGATTAATACCCTTTTCGATTTTTTTTATTCATTAATGTTTTGATTGTGATTCGTTTAATAATTGTTGATTAATCTATCCATATATATATTAAAACCCAAGGCAAGAATTGTAATCATGCCACTTGTCATCATTTTTGCCACGTGTTGTCATGAATTGATAAATGCTGTGAGGTCATGTGATTCATGTCATATTAAAACTAATCATTAATTTTTCCTCACAAAAAATTAATGTTCATAAATTCTAATTTTTTAATCCTCATTCTGTCGTTTGCTCATTCATTTAACAGATAAAACAAACTAATATGATAATGAATTTTGTTAATGCTCAATAAAATTTACTAAAAAATATGATTTTTTTTTTAAAAAAAATTATAAAACCATCAATAGATTTCACTTTAATTTATTAAAGTTATTTTTTAAAACAATTTACTATTATATACAAAAAAAAAATGACCTGGGGCATCGCCCGGGCCTCAAACTAGTTATCTGTTTATTTAGTTATTGTTTAGTGATGTTGTTTTGGAGTTTATGAGCTGATTTTATATGTAACTAGTTTTTGGCCCGGGCGATGCCCAGGTTATTATTTGTATATAAAATATTATTACAAAATAAAGCAAGTGAAATATAAGTTATGGCTTTATAAAAATAAATCATTTGTTAAATATTTTAAATATAGTTGAATATCAAAATTCATTATTATTCAATAATTTGCCAATTACTACCGCAAGTTAATACTACTTTGTAAATTACTACCGCAAATTAAAAAAGTTGTGAATTACTACCGCAAAAAATTTTAAGATGTTGCGATTACTACCAAACCCCCATTAAACCCAACTATGACGTCATTATATCACTTTAACCCATGGTTAAAACCCTTAACCATGACGTCATTATATCCCTAACCCATTTTCTTTTTTTGGGGGGCTGGTTAAAGCCCTTAACCATGGTCAAATACGGGTTAAAGGGATATAATGACGTCATAGTTGGGTTTAATGGGGGTTTGGTAGTAATCGCAACATTTTAAAAATTTTTGCGTTAGTAATTCACAACTATTTTAATTTGCGGTATTAATTTACAAAGTGGTATTAACTTGCGGTAGTAATTGGCAAATTATCCAATTTGCAACAACCTAAATAATAAATTGTATCAATTTGTTTTATTTGTTAAAGGGATTTTTTTTATAATTCAACTATCATAATAAATTCCTTCTAGTAACATATTTTGTGGTTAAAAAGAAAAATTATGTAAAATTATTTTGCATTTTTGAGTTATATATTTTAATTAACTACTACCTTTGGTCCAAATTAGTTGCAACTATTTCCTTTTTGGGTCCACATTACTTGCAACTTTCCCATTTATTTCCTTCATTTAGTAACTTTTTATAGGTAAAATTACAATCTTACCCTTACTTATTTTTATAACCAATGTTATTATACTACTAACCTAATATAATTACACTACCTAACTGAGCAATTAGATTAATCATTCCCACTAAAAAAAACCCCCATACTCTTTAAATTCTCCATCATCCCAACTAACTCAATTGAATGCTACAACATTCAATTCATCAGATGAATATGGTTGGGTGCATTTATTCTGGAGAATTCTCCGGATTATATTACCCCCCCGAAACCCTAGTTCATATTTTTCTCACTCCTCACTCTTCGCCGTTTAGGATCTCCTCTCTCTCTTTCTCTCTCTCTAACTCTGTCACTCTCCTTGCGATCTGGGTTTTCTCCTTCCTTCATTCTTCTGTTATGTTCTTCTACTTCTTGAGTCCCACTATGTCTACTTCAACGGACAAAGAACTCGATCCTCTTTGCCATGAGACCCTTGAATCAACTGCATCTAAGCGCCGATCTGGGCGTGTAACTTATAAGCCGGAGCGAGGAACGGGAAACATGAAACCCGTTCGTCGTGCTTCAGTGATCGCAAGGAGGAAGATCCGTGGTGCAAAACTTGCTGAGTTGAGCGATGAGGAGGAGAAGCCTCAGGAAGTGGTCCCTGTGGCTATGGCCGCTGATGAACCACCACTTGAGGTGATTTCGATTGCTGAGGTTCATCCTATTCCTGCTGCTGTAGTTGTTGAGGGTGAGGTCTCCGCTGCTGGATCTGCTACTGGGAAGTTAAACCCAGTAGATCTGGAGGTTTCTGAGGTGGCTAAGCCACCTGGGTCCCACGACGACTGTGAAGGGCCTTCTAACGGAGCTAAGAGGATCAAATCTGGTCCACCTGGAGGGATGTCGAGGGAAGAGGTGATTGAGGCGTACCTGCAGATCTACTACCCTCAATTCTACCCTCCTCCAAACTGATTGCGCAGCGTATACTCTATAAACCCTAGTTTATTTTAGTTTTCCTTTGGTTTATGTTTGGTTTGTTACAATGGTGATTGTCTTCCTTTGATGTTGGATCATGTTTTGTGTGTGCTGGTAAATCTCAAAATTGTTGTTGTATTGTGTTGTGCATTTTCTCTATTTAAAACTTGTTGTTTGGTTGTGTTAGTTGTGCACTGTATGATGTTCTGTGGATTGTGTTGGTTGTGAGTTGTTGGTGTCCTGTAACACCCCAATAATTCTCCCTTTTCCAAACCACTTACTTTAAATAAAAAGAGAGGAGAACCATTGGCATGTTAGCGCCACGTGTTAAAACGTTAAGGCTTTATCAAAGTATTGCAGCGGAAATCCAACTTAAATCTTAAAATAATATAATTTAGAAAACCAATAAGTCAAAGCTTACAAATTGGAACCATAAAAGCCCTTATTAAAACCAACCCAATATTCCAAAATCCCAAAACATAATTAAAATAGTAAAACATAAATAAGTTCAACACAAAGAACAAATACTCTCAATCACACCAATCCCTTGACAACGCGTATGTCAAATCCCCGAACTTCACATCATCAAGCTAACCTGTGCAATACTGCTCCTCAATAATACAAGTGTAATAATTGGATCATCACAGGGTCATTGAAAGGCGAAGGCCATGACCAAAAGAAAACACACAAAAGCACGCAATCAGCAAAGCTGAGTACATACAAGCTACAACGTACCAAGCCTAGCATGCTCAACTAATTAAAGTAAATAAACATACAACATAAATTCATTAATCAAGACTCCACACTTAAACAATTCAATCGACTCAACATACTTGCTAATCAATTCCAAACACTTGACTCTTTATATTTAATTTAATTAATTTAGTTGGAGTAATCAATAGACGAGGTTGTCCAATCCACCAAATCATTTTGGTCCCAAATGACCATTTAAAATAAAAGTTTAGCGCGATGCAAGAATGGGCGCGACTCCATTCTCACAAAGTTAGTCTAGGATCCCATCTAACTTTCATTATAAAAATAAAATGTAAATACCAAAAGAAAAGAGGACATGTTGATCAAACAAGCCTCGGAAAGCCATGGGCTACCACCGTGTACCCCAACCCATAATTGTCAATACTCTAGAAGTGCACGCTTTCTAGAGTTTTATTGCTCATCCATGTTTCACTTTACGTGATTACAATTTTAATTAATAACCGACTCATTCAAGAAGACCATACATAACAATCATACATCAATTCACTGTTAATCTTATTTAGGACAATGGTGATCACATCACAAGTTGACCTTTAGTTCCATTAAACTTCCAAATTATCCAAATTGTTGAACATAGTCAACTCACCTAGCCATTTCGGCTTAATCCACCTTTACTCAACATACTAACAATTCATGATTGAGTAATAAAATAAAATAAATAACCTTGTGGAATAATTAATAAATTCATTCCATTTAAACCATTAAATTCCAATCCTTTAATAATCCAAATGTGGTTAACAAACCAATCCAATAAAATATGTTTGTATCAACATTCCATACAAATAATTAATCCAATATAATTCAATATGCTTGCATCCATAATTCCATACAAACATAATCAATTCACCAAAACATGTCTCATAAACATAAGCACATGAATTAATTAAATGTATAACCAAATAATTTTCATCCAAGTGTTCTCTAATCATGAAACTAAGTTCTTTTCTTTGGTACCTAAACATGATACTACTTACAACGAAGTAGACATGTGCGTACCTCGTATAAACAATCCTTTGTGCCACTTTTAATCACTTAAAAGTCTCCTAAGAAATAATCACTTCCTAGAAAACAAGCAACAATAATAAATTAATACTTAACCAAATTTCCAGCAATATAATTTAGATTAAAACTCCTTAAAACTTCATTAAAAACATGTTTTTATGGTTAATTATGCATTAGAAATACAATAGGAACAAAAGCCCCAATTTAATTAGTCATAAGAACCCTAAAATCCCAATTTAAATAAATTGAAACCCTAGGTTTTTAAAATTATAAAATCTGAAAATTATAACAACAATTATAATTTGAAATTATTAGTTTAAAACATAAAAACATGATTTTGATACTAAAAATATAAACTTTATACTATAAAATCAAAACCCAAAACTAATCATAAACATTAAGCATAAAAAAATCTTCGTTAAAAATCAAAAACTGCCCGAAAATCATATTTAGAGGCTGAATTTGGCCACGAAAGGGTGGTGCTCACTACCAAAGTAAGTGAGTCTTTCTTAAAACATTGTTTCCACATGGAAAACACTACTTTTTTGTCAAAATCAGATGAGTTCAGAACCTGATCGGGATTAGAACGGGATTAATATTAACGAACCAAAATATAAACATTAAAACACGAATTTACGTGTTCAAGATAATCTGGGATTAAGTTAAACTAATTAGTAGTATAATCACCAAAATTTCAAAACATCATTACTATAAAAGCCCTAAATCAATTGTTCATAAAAACCCTAAAATCATGATTTTCAATGATTAAAAACCCTAGGTTATTAAATTTACAAAAATCTGAAAATTATAACATTTATAAAATCTGAAATTATAAAGTTTAATCATCAAAATACAATTTGATACTAATTAAATTAATTTCAAACAATAAAATCAA